TTGTTCATTTGTTCATCGTATAAGCATGCGCGCATGCGAAAAAAAAACCGGCGAGGCGACATCCGAGCCCTCCGGCCACTACGCTTCTACAACGCAAGTTTCAAATAGCAGGTAATTGTCATTACCCTTATCACCTGACCTATACAAAAATTAAGTGAAGCTGAAAATGCAGAAAAAAAACATCCAACCGTTTGTGTTTCTTTTTAAGAGATGAAAATATTGAACGACACGCATTCTAAGTGATCGCACGCTGCAGAAGCCTAATACACTCTCTGCATGCAGAAAAGTTTTTGTCTTGCGGTTTCTGCGTCGCAAAAAATACCGGAACAGCATCAAATAAACACACGCTAGAAGCAATGAGAGGTTCATGATGATTTCAAGCGTCGGTTAAGAATTGGCGGCCCTTGCCATCCAAATGCACATACTCATATGCACACACTCAGCGCTATCATTTCATGTATGTATAGAGGCACACGACCGCAGGTACAGTACTACGCATACCAATTTTCACCTGCCCTCGAAGATAGCTATTAAGAGTATGCACTTGCAAGATAGAAGGCACGTAGTGTCAAGGAAGAAACAAGTGTTTCGGTCATCTTGATGCTGACCCATGGCATGCCACAGGGATCAGTACTTTCACCAGCATTATTCAACATCTTGATGTGTACTATTCTTAATCGATCAGGGGTGCAGACTTGAGTTGATGCGGACGACATTGCTTTTTTTGGTATAGTTGCTGACATACATCGCCTTTACGAAATATTACGGCCGTAGTTGAGTGAACTCAAGAAGCGGCTAGAAAGACTGCAGTTAAGTCTTAAAACCAATAAGTGTGCTGTTCGGGGTTTACCGGTTTACAATCTTATGGAAATATTTCTTACACATAAGCTGCAGGATATCCTGCAAGTGGAATCATTAAAATACCTCGAAGCCATATATAACGAACAACTATACTGGTAAGCTCACAATAACTATATAACAACAAGAGGAGCACGGACAACGGGTGTATTGCGCAGGCTCAGTAGCCGCAGATCGGTATGTGACCAAAAGCACTTTTTATGGTCTACAATTTGTACGTACGACGGGTATTGGAATTTGGCTGTGTTATTTTTTCCGGTGCGCCAGCATACCAGCTTCGGCCAGTAGCCCTATTAAAGCAAAAGGCTTTACTGCTATGCTTAGACCTTGCAAAATATTTGGCAAATGCACTATTATACTTGGATTATTATACACTACCCTTGTTAAAACAATTTAACCTACTTATGGTGCAGACTTTCTCGCGGCTGTACGAAACACTCTCTAACCATGCCCAAATAATTTTAACCTCCAATCCTGATATATTTTTCTCCGAGTAGTAACCTGAATTCCGCAAGCAACAAATCATATTTGCACAAACAATACTCGATTCCCTGAGTTCACAAATTCGTGATGTGTGCCCTTTGACCATAGAACCTATATTCACAGACATTGTCTACCACAACAATTTTCCGAACTACGCGAAAATATTACCTCACGGAATTCGAAATGAACTATTAGGGTATTACAAGAGCATGTAAATATTTCGCCAACAAATGTGGTTATTGCAACAGATGCATTGCAACGTGAGGAAAAAGCTGGCATAGGAATATTCTGCCCCCAACTTGACTGGTCTTTTTGTTACGACTGCCGGATTTTATCCCAGTTTTTATAGCTGAATTTATGACCATAATATTAGCTCTGCAAAAGATAGCGGGTCTAAGTACAGTAGTAGCAATCATCACTGACTCATTATTTGTGTGTTCTTCTATCTCTCCATCTGGCTAAACACCTCTTCTAAAGCTTTTCAGAATACTAGTTCACGCGCACGTACAATGTTTTCACCTAATTTGGGTACCAGGACACAAGGGTTTGTTTTTAAACAAAAGTGCTGATTCTTTAGCAAAGGCGGTGCTTTTGATGTCAATCATTCCGGTTTTCCCACTGACAACATACATTACAATGCACGATTCTGCAGCCTAACTATCAAAAACTGCTCATCACACCCTATCTTGACAGCTTCTTCAGAATACAAGCACCTATTATTTTCCTGGAACAGTGAGTTATCGCAGTCAAGAATGTTGGAACAGGCCATAACCAAACTTCGCTGCCGGGTTACCTCCATCAACTTTCACCCGCATAGAGCAAGTCAAGCGTTGTCTCCTCTGTGTATCTTCTGTAAGAAGGAGGAAACAATCAGTCATTACTTTCTATCTTGTCGCTGGTATACGTCATTGAGAATAAGAATTATAGCACCACCTCTTCGAAACTGTGGTCTGGAAATATCTGAATTAGTTCTATCTTTCAGCGCCTCTGCTCTGGGTTAGAGTCACAGGGATGCTTCCTACGCCGTAGAGGGACTTATAAGTCAGACTAAAAAATATAGAGCTAGTTTCTTCTTCTTTTAAACATTTATATATATTATTCAGTAATTACTTGTGTAACCTATCCCTAGAATATACGAGTAGTGTTGCGAAGAAACAAAAAAAATTCACCTAACGTTTGGCCGATCCCTCGCATTGGGTAAGAGCCATGAGATGAGGAGAAGAAAAAGAAGACTCCAGCACGCACACACGCGTTACTTAAAATATACAATTTTCACGGAAACGCAATTCTAGAGTTGGGTTGCGTTCTGTTTTCCGGAAGTGCTGAGTACAAGTGAAGGCCTCTTATATTGCTAGAAAGGCAAGATCTTCAGCTGTGTCTCGGGCTATTTAGGTGTTTTGCAAATATCGTGCTTTATTCGGAAGCTCAAATCATTCCACTTGATGTAACATTTTGAAGGTTCTCTGCAAACATTTTTAAAACTGAACAATGCGCCTCTCTCCGGTTCACAGACAGTGTTCATCAAAAATCCAGTTTCTTTCTTTAGGCGCCCGTGGTGTTGTTATCAAATACCCCAATTATATTTGTCGACTCTATGTTATAAAATCTTCACGTTTCCCCCCAGCATTTAACTCCCCAAACCCTCTGCTCGGTGCCAGTTGTCTTAATTTTCGATGATATTTTCCCCCGAATTGCCAAGTTACTTCCAAAGCATGTTCAGGAGGGCCTCGTTTAAGGCCATCTCAGTCATTTTCCTAATTACGTAGTAATTTAAACGGATGCACAGCAATATCTTCAGAAGGCTGGAGTAGGTATTTTTTCTCATCAGCTTACTTGGTCTTTTGCACTCCAATTGCCTGATTTCACAACAATTATTTCGCAGAATTCCTGGCTATTACATTGGCTCTTCTAGAACAAAGTTCTCAGCAAAAAAAATCAAATATTATTTCGGATGCTTTGTCTATTTGTACACATCTAACGTCCGCAAAGCAGTCTCCTATTCTCAGGATATCTTGGTCTCTCGTACCACGTAGCCTATCAGAAGTTCAGGTTTCTTTGGATCTTAGGACATGCTGGAATTGCACTATATGAAGTCGCTGACTCGCATGCTTCGGCATCTTTAAATTTCCCGGCAGTACTAGTAGCTCCACAGTTTTGTTTCATTACTGCAAAACAATTCAAACGTCTCTTAATCTTAAAAAATCAACAAAATATTGCTCCTATCGTCTGAAGATTTTTGGCACTTGAAATTCACATGGAACATCGCAAAATGCCTTTCCCGTCAATGGAAGGTGACCCTCACAAGCTTTCGCTGTGGAGTTCTTCGATTAAATTTTTATCTCCACAAATCACGATTTTCAATAACTAAGCTAGGTGCAGTTTGCAATGAACTGGAAACAATAAATCCCTTTCTTCTCACATGCCGCCTCTCCGCCTCACTGCGCCGAATAATTCTCAAGAGACCAATTGGCATGCTCGGATTTCTACTTAATGCATCCACCGTTTTATTGTTTGGAGCCAGTCAGCCGGGTGCGGGCCGCAGTGCCATTCTGTCAGCGCTACATGAATTCATTCATACTACAGGAAGGATACGCTGCTAGTGGTATTGCCAGTTATATGCAGTTATTTGTCCCCCTTTGTCATTTTACTAATTTGTTTTATACAGTCTGGTTTATGGAATTCTTCTACACTTAACGTTTTTAAACGATCATTATCATTATTCTTATCTAATTTCTCTCTCTTGATAGCAAGCGTTGCATAAAAAATTCCATTATAAGGTACAAGGTCGCCAATCCCGCTTATGGATATGAGCCAAGATATTCTAAGTGACAAGACAAGACAACACCAATAAATGAGGCACAAAGTTCATTCATATTAGCTTACCAGGTGTCTTCAATTTCAAAACTGTGGGTAAAACCAACGCCTTCGAATGAATTCCACTGCATGGCTACCGCCTATCAAAATGGCTGCCTTAACGTACATAGAGACGCTGCTTGAGACGCAACCTTTCAGCGCTCGAAAGTCCGGGTTTTAACGTGCTCCTGCGTCGTTTACGCCGTTAGGCATACACTGAAGTCCCAAGGCGTGGTTTGCGAACGAATAACGAGAGCCATGGCATCGAGTGGGTTATTTCAATGTTGCCTGCTGATGTAACTTGAGCGAAGCTGACGCTGAGGCAGAGAACGATTCTGTTCGCTTGTGAGTTCTGATGAAAAGGAACGTACTTGAATCCACCCTTCTTCCCCACGCCTTTTTTCTCCGTTACAGTCTTTTCACATCGGCTCTACTCCTATATTTTCTCATCATTTATTATCCTGGTAAGATAGTGCTTTCAACCATTTTACCCCCTTCTGAGTTTGTCCGAATCCGGGCTAGGGTGGTAATAGGGCATATATTATATGCTAAAAGCGCCAGTATGGGCCAATTTGAGTTTACAGTGACACTAAATTGATGTTATTTTCGTGAAACATTAGCCTTTGCTGTAAAAAGTTATCATTACTTCCGCCCACCCTCTAGTGTTTTATTGTCTTCCATGCTTAAGATTTTGCGTCGATTCCTAGTTTTAGAAAGCACGACTCCTCCGGGATTTAGATCTTCCCTGTCACTGGGAGTCCGATGAGTTGGCATTACTTTGCGCCTCCTACTTTTTGCAGCTGCGCCTAGTGCTTTTTCGACCGCACATGTTTTTTAACCCTTCGTCTACTTATTTTGTTGCTGCTGGAGCTACTGTTGCTGCTGCTTGAAGGCGATCTGCGATATCGCTTAGTGTAGCGGTGGATTCTGCTGCTGCTGCTACTACTGCTGCTGCTGCTTGAAGACGGGCTTGTAGAGTGTCTCTTGATGTTCGAGGACCGATCATGTCTTCGGTGTATCGGTGAATGGTGATGGCGGTCACTAAGGCACTTCCTCTCGCCACTGCTGCTGGACGAGGAGCTGCTTGTCGACTGATGAGCACGACGTGATGAGTGGCTTGGTCGACGACGCTCCTTGCTGCGTGACTCCCGGCGAGGCTTCTTGTGGCAGCGATCGCTGTCCTCGCTACTGGTCATCGGCGGGAGATTGAAGTGAACCCTCTTCTGGGACGGAGTAGGCGAAGGCGCGGAGCGCTTGCGAGGCAGCTTGATAATACCCTTGAGCACTGTGGTCGCCACTGAACGGCACGTTTCCACAGACGACCTGCGCTTAGCTCTTCTCTGGTCTGCAGTGGTGATCCTCTTCTTCTTGCGTTTAGTTTCACGTGTAGCTGATTGGACGTTCGTCTTGATCTTGCGCTTAGCTACCCGTTTAGCTTCTTGGACAGGCAGACTGTCATTTTGAGATGTGGAATCTTCACTGGACACAGCACGCTTGTGGGCCATATGGCTCGTTTCGGCAAACTGAGTTGCTAAGTCAGGTGCGCTGTGTGACTCCTACGAGGGCTCACCATTCGCGCCGTTTGGCTCGCAGGACTTGGGGAAAGGCCAGCGAGATGCCACGCGGTGCTGCCGTTGTGGCGAATTTAGTCGGCCTTTAGGAAGATTCTCGCGGCGCCATTCCACGGCTCAGACACCACGCGCGTGGCACTGCTATGCAAGTTGCTGATGATGATTAGCCTGAATTGTGGGCAATACCCAATACGTGGGATGGGTTAGTATTGGCGGCATTGCAAATACAGCCGCTTCTTTTATTTGTGTTTTCGAAAATAACCACATCACTACCTAAATAGAATAAATGTAATTGTCAATTTTATGACGAAGGGGCAACGTGCAATGGGACGTTCCGCGTCAGCGCTCAGCAATAGATCAATCACGTAATTCTGTGCAATTCGGAGTGTGCCGCACGTGCAATGATTACAATATCACACTTCAGTTACGGAGAGCGCCGGAAAACGTAGATAACTGAATGATTGAAAACGAATCTGCTGCTTCGAAAATGAAAGCGATACGTATTACAACCTATTTCGCTTTATAGGTATCTATAGTCTACACGTCAACCTTCTAGTTTGCGAATCTTTTAATGCAAAAAATGCCCGAATTTTGCAGCACTTCATTAGGTTACTGCCACAATCATGTCTGCTCTCCTGTGTTCAAATATATAAAAGCATCAAAAAGACTACCTTGTTAGTGTATTTTTGTATATTGCTCGCTTGCTTGTTCCTTTCTTTTGTGGCTCTCACCCACTAAGGGGTATTGGCCAAGAAGCCGATGGTTAATGCAAGTCAATACCTATAGAATATCTAGACTAGGGGAACATGATTACTGTGTTTTGACTGTGAAATTAAGTTGGTGCGATGTAAAAAAAGAAAATATGGGGGTATATTGATAACATTGGTTTTAATTTCGTCGTTATTTTTATCAGTAAGCTTGGATTAACTGATCACTTGCTCAGTAAGCATTTTCATGCACAACTAGTTTTATTTTAAACTAGTTTTCTAGCTTTGTTGTAGTTTCACAGAACTCTAGACATACTAGCACATCGTTCTTGACGCATTCGCCTTTTTGGCGAATCGCCATCCATAGAGGTCATCGTGGTAATCATCATTATATACCGGGTGTTCAAAAAAATATGTTTGTGTGCCCCGCCACGGTGGTCTAGTGGCTAAGGTACTCGGCTGCTGACCCGCCGGTCGCGGGATCAAATCCCGGCTGTGCCGGCTGCATTTCCGATGGAGGCGGAAATGTTGTAGGCCCGTGTACTCAGACTTGGGTGCACGTTAGAGAACCGCAGGTGGTCAAAATTTCAGGAGCCCTCCACTACGGCGTCTCTCATAATCAAATAGTGGTTTTGGGACGTCAAACCCCACAAATCAATCAATCAATCAATCAAGAAATATGTGTACAATGTTTTGAAAAATCGGGAAATTGCAATATTCGTTCGCTTCTTTCATGATTATCTTTTTTGTAGAAGCAGGCATCCTAAAGAACCTCAAGGGGACATGACCAGTGGCCGATGGTTGGTTCATGGTCGGCAACCTGTCGGTGGCCAGTTTAGTCGGCGAGACAACCGAAAAAAGTGGTTGACCCGGGACTGGCCATTGACCAGGTCAGCAGTAAGTTGGCCAGGGTGCTAAGGCCAACATCGTAAATATACCACAGCCAATGCCATTTGGCCAGGCAAGCAGTCGGCCAGTGAGCTCGGCCCGACGTCACAGGTTTACTTTGGGCCGACCTCTTTTTTTTTGATCGGCGACAAATACAAGTGCGGGTGATCATGCTTGAAAATTTGGCCATCGTGCAAGCAGAAACAGATCTATTCTGCATCTTCATTTTATTTTGAAGTATGGGCTGTGAGATTACTTTAAATTCGAAATAACTGCAGTGTATGTGACACCTGAAGGCTGCCTAAGGTGCAATATTCTAGCTCAAAATTTATTCTTACACAAAACTTTCAACGAATTGTACCAATAAAAGGTAGCATAATTCTTTGACAAATATAAATTTATTTTTTTGCATTTTTTACAATAAGCTTCTACGGTCAAGACGACGATATGCATCTGTGGAATACTAGTGTCAGCTAAAACTACTTGGATGGTTGATTTGACAAGAGACAACGAGCGAACAGCGTGGTTTTAAGCTTGGTGGGTATATATGCTCCACTTTTTTGTGAAATGATCATTAGGACAACGGAGAAAGCGCATTTTCGTGTCCTTTGAACGTTGGTAAACATCCGTGTCCCCTAACAAGCTCTCTTTCCAGCCCTTATACGCAATCCCATGCTGCGATCGTGCGAGGCTTAGACGTGTAAAGTCTGAAGAATAGAATGTAGCCAAATGTTTCCTAAGAAAAAAGCGCACAATATTCTGGCCATGCTCTTGTTCTTTTTGCTGGTAATGACAGGTGAAAGATTGGCAGTATGAAGCTCTGACTAAATCCAGAAGCACGTTTGATTGAACTGCACTTTGATTACCCACACGCTGACACTACCCTCGTGCGTGGGTGGATGCTCTGGAGAGAAGCGCAGTGTTTGTGTGGCAGTATCTGAGTACCATGCTACATTATTCGAACTATAGCAATAGCTTGCCATGGTTTGTGAAATTTGTAGCACAGCACGCAAAGCTAAATTTGCACACCACCTTTTAATAAGTGACCAGTTTGTCTTTTTGCATGTTATAAAACTGCTTCGGTCATTTTTAGGCTTAAATATTGAAAATACTGAATTGAGAGTTCCGTGGCTTATAGCTTGTATAGCATACTGACGAAAAGTGCTCATTTTTTCGACCAATTTAGCTCCTTTCAGCGTAGGTCATAGCGTTAACACTACTGTTTAAAAAGTAAATAGTTTCACCCATGTGGTGCTGGGTTGGATTGTCTTTTTGTTTAATTGGTTTCACCAAAGAAACGAGCCTCTTAAACTACCATTCACCTTTGGTCGTGCTCATTAGCTTGGAAGCAAGTCAACTTCTTTCCTAATAAATCTTGGAGTGGTGCTTCGAAGCCTTGATAAGTGTTTGTGTGAAAAATTTGTGTAAATAAGAAAGTTTTAGATCCATGAACCTGTGACGTGAACTTCATTGATCCTCCTATTGTTCATAGTATCTATGAACTACAGTGGCTACTACTGGCGTAAGCTGAACTTCAGTTGTGGGAGGGTGGTGGGGTGCAGTCGTACTTTATGCATGTTCGTGCGTAGGTTTTTGAGTGTGCATGCAGTTGTATACAATACAGCACACGTGCAAGTAAAAAATCAAAAAGGGGTTAAAGCTTGCCCCCCCCAAGATACAGCCTAGTGGGCGCCAGCTGGCCACGTGCTAATTTTAACTGGCCCGAACGTGGCCCTATGGAAGCTGGCACTCGGCCAGGTCGGCCAATAAAGTTCGCTGTACGTCGGTGGCCATAACATTGTCCGACATGAGACGAGTGCAAATCCCCATACGTGGGCAGACCTAGACAGTCGACATATGTCCAATGTCGGGCAGGTTGGTCAGTGACCTGGGACCAGCGTTTCGCCGAGCACTTTTGTACCATTGCGACCACATGCACGTGATTTTTGAGCGATAGCGACGAGTGGCAGCGACAAACATGCTCCGTCGCACTGTCGCATTGCGACGGCTGCTACCACAAGTAGGCGAAAAAGCATCATTGTTGCTTGAATGGAAATTTTCCTGTGCATACATAATCTTACGAGGAAACGTATATTTACAGATATTTACAACGATTACACGCGATGACAATGCCTGGCACATTGGCGGGCTGGGACCAGTCTCTATCCACTTCGTAGTCTTTTCTTTCAGCCAGGGACCCTCTACCGCTTTATGCCCCAATCCCACTACTGCCTTGTGGCACTACCCCGCGGCGTTAAAGCGCCGACATGGCACTTGTCACGAAAGGGGAGTGTTGGGTGACACATAAGGCTTCAGTCTTACGACGTGCGCAACAATGGATGGTGGTGGCATTAAGTGCGCTTCGTCGACGACTCGCTGTATCTCGTAGGTGAGGATGGTGATCTTGCGAAAGACTTTGTATGGTCTGTCATAGCGAAATAAAAGTTTTTCTGAGAGGCCGATGTGACGACACGGGGTCCACAAGAGTACGAGAGAACCTGGTGCATACGAAACTTCGCGGTGGTGACAATCGTATCGATCTTTCTGAGATGCTTCAGAAAGCATGAGTCGTTCTCGGGCAATCTGTCGTGCTGCGTCGGCTCGCTCTATGGCATCGCACACGTATGTGACAGGGGAGCTTGAACCAGCGGGAAGGAGTGTATTAAGAGGCAGAGATGGTTACCGTCCATAAAGAAGGTAAAACGGGGAATAGCCTTCGGTGTCATGTCTGGAGGAGTTGTAAGCGAAGGTGACGTAGGGTAACGTTGCGTCCCAGTCACGGTGATTTTGAGAAACATACATTGACAACATGTCCGTGATAGTGCGATTCAGGCGCTCTGTAAGTCCATTAGTTTGTGGATGGTATGCCGTTGTGAACTTGTGGTTCGTGGAACAGGAGCGTACGATATCCTGGACGACGCGAGATAAAAACTATCGGCCTTGGTCAGTAACGAGCTGTCGAGGAGCGCCGTGATGCAATATGATGTCATGTAGCAGAAAGTCGGCGACATCGGTAGCGCAGCTGGTTGGAAGAGCGCGGGTGATCGCGTAACGTGTCGCGTAGTCGGTCGCTACGGCAACCCATTTGTTCCCGGATGCAGAAGTGGGAAATGGCCCGAGAAGGTCGAGCCCTACGCGGTAGATTGGTTCAGCAGGGATCTCAATAGGGCTAAGAAGGCAAGCTGGAAGGGATGTTGGTCGTTTTCGACGTTGACAAAGGTCGCAGCTGGCGACATACTTTTGCACAGAGCGATATAGGCGTGGCCAGAAAAAACGGCGCCGGACGCGATCATAAGTGCAGGTGACTCCCAGGTGACCAGAGGCAGGTTCATCGTGAAG